CTGTAACATATTCAACTTGTATAGGTCCCACCTCCCTGGAAATGCTCCCAATGCCCCAGCAATCTAAAGCTGTCCCTGTTTGGCCTCAATTGGTTCATTGTATAAAGATCTGGGAACCATAGTTTCTTGCCAATTGTTGAGGGTAACCTCTGTCAAAATCATTTGGCCTATGAGCGGATAACACTTCTCTGAATTCCCAAAATGTGACTCCTCCGTAATTTATCAAAATGAAAAGAATCCCAAAAATGATTCCAGGAATGGCTAAATTCAGAAGTTGGGTGTTGAAGAAGTTGGGGCTGCTCTCTTAGGAAAGGATGAGTTGATAGAAGTATTCAAAATCATGAGGGGTCTAGTGAAGTAGACAGGCCAAAATTATTCCTATTGGCATAAGGATCCAGTAGTAGTGGATGACATTTTAAGGTGATTTGCAAAAGAAGCAACAGCAATATGAAGAAAACCCATTTTGCACAGCAGGTTGTTAGGATCTGCAATGGGACTAGGTGAGTTCTTTGAGAGTTAGCATAAACATAATGGGCTGAGTTACCTCTCTTTCCTGTTTATGTGGATAGTAATTTGGAGGAGGGAGATTTTAGGCAGATCATTGATGAAATGAATAAAGATGGATGTGCTCATATAATTAATCATAATAATTAGCAAAGATAGAGAAGGATATTGCTCTCATTGGTATTTTGTTGCAAGTACCCCATTCTGTGTTAAACAGTTATTCAAATATGAGGAGTCAGCTTGAAGTTATAGGATTGTAAATTAAGTAGCGTGAGTTAACTTTATGCAGCTTGTATTAGTAAGATGAGCTTTAGAGTAGCAAGAATGATTGTTGCACTCCATCAAAAATAGAAAATCTTAAAACCGCAACAAGAATGATTCTTGAAACAGTGTTCTGAGTTATAAAGGCATTTGTGGAACTAGGTATATTTAAATAATTGCCTTATGGGTGCCATGTATTTCAAATGGATAAGTGCATGTTCGTGACTTGTATATGGTTTGCTAAATACAGAACTGGAAATGAATACAAGATCAAAATTGATGTGAGTTTAATCACTGGGCTGCAAATCCTTGTGGCCCACTTTCTACACCTGAAAATGTTTCTGCCTTTTATACAACAAAACCCTTGATTCCCTTACTGATTAAAAATCTGTCTGCCCTTGAATGTAATTAAAGACCCAGCCTTTACGGCCCTCTGCACTAAAGAATTCTACAGAATCACCACCTTTTGACAGAAATTTTTTCTTAATTTTTTCCTAACAAGGCATCCCTTATGCTGAGATTATGCACTCTGGTTTTAGACTGTCCCACAAGGGAAAATAACCTATTCATATATACACTGTCAAGTTTCCTAAGCATTGTACATTGTTTCAGTAAGGTTGACTCTTTCTTCTCAACTTCAACGAGTACATGTCCAACCTACTTGACCTCTCCTCATAAGATAATCCCTCCATACCTGCGATTCACCTAGTGAACCTTTTTCTGGAATGCCTTCAATGCCAGTATGTCTTTCCTTCGAGAAAGAGACCAAAACTGTTCCCAGTATTCCAGGTGTGGTCCAACTAGTGTCTTGTAAAGCTTTGGCAAGACTTCCATACTTTTATTTCAAAGTGAATAGAGTATAAAGGCCAACTTTCATTACCTGCTGAACTTGTATGCTAGCTTTTCCGTGATTTATGAGCGAGGACTTCCAAATCCCTCTGTCCTCTAGCTTTCTGTAGTCTTTCTCCTATTATCTAATATTCAGCTTCTTTTTTTTCTTTCCCTACCAAAGTACATAACCTCATTTTTCCACATTATATTCCATCTGCCAAATTTTGGCCTACTTGCTTAACCTGACTATATCCCTCTGTGTTATTGTGTTGGTTTTTGTGTTTTTCTCACTTCCTGCCTTCTGACCTGTTTTTGTATCATTCACAAACTTGGCTATAGTACATTCCCTCTCCTCTTCAAAGTTATATTGTACATTTTCCCCCTCCTCATCTAAGTCATAGAGAGAGAGAGATATCTTTTGTTATGAACTATGTTCTTAAACATCTGTCATTGTTCATTAACAGTCCTTGCTACTAAACTCATTTCCCAGTCCACTGCTGCTGGCACTGTTCTCATTCCTTTGTTTTAGATTTCCATCCTGAAAATACCCCTGATCCCAACTCTGTCTTCTATTAGTTAGCCAATCCTCTATCCATGCTAATATACTACCCCAACATCATGAGCTCTTATTAAGTAACCTAATGTATGGTACCTCATCAAATCTTTTCTGGAAATCCAGATATATTAAATCTGCTGCTTCCGTATATCTGTCCTGCCTGTTACCTTTCAAATACATTTGTCAGATATGAAGCCATGCTGTCTCTACTTGATTCTATCATGTATTTTTAAATGCTCTCCTATTTCATCCTTCACGATGGACTCTGGCAAGTGTAAGGCACTGTGTTCCAGATGTAATTCATTTGGTCCACTGCTAGGCTTTAGCAAAACATACTTTATTCTTAACACAGGTAAAATACAAACGAAAAGAACTGGCGTAAATTTAACTCTGAAATACTTAATAAGATAATAATGTTAATCATCAACTGTTCCAATATAGGCAGCATCTCACAAACAGCCCCTCTGGCAAGAATGCAATTCAGTAAAACGGCTATTATTCTTACATCTTGCCTCTCTCCAGTCCAGAAGAAACAATCTGCCCCTTTTGATTTTCAAAAGAGAGCCTTTCTCTCTGTAAGACTGCACTCTAGCAGCCAGGAACTTAAGCTTTTAGCACAGTAGAAGCCTTGGTAGACTGGTCATGGATAGTTCTGCTATAATGTGTATTTTTTTGATGTGAATTGGCTGTAATGCGATTGATGAATAGCAGACACTGTTTGTTTGTATATTGTGAACTTTCTGCTGTACAGGTTTAGTGATTTTTTTTTTTTTTTCCTGTAGTGATTTCCCTACAACATGATTTTCTATCGTGCAAGGACGCAAGTGTTGCATTATGGGAGAACTACCTGTAGTCAGGTTAGATTATATGGGATCGAGAGAGTTGGCCAGTTGGATACAAAATTGGCATGATGGTAGAAGACAGAGGGTGGTGGTACAGGATTGTTGTTCAGACCGGAGGCTTGTGACCAGTGGTGTGCCGCAAGGATCAGTGCTGGGTCCACTGTTGTCTATCATTTAATATAAACAATTTGGGTGAGAATATAGAAGGCATGGTTAGTAAATTGGCAGATGACACCACACTTGGTGGTATAGTGGACGGTGAAGAAGGTTATTGAAAAGTAGAACAGGATCTAAATCAACTGAGCCAGTAGGCCCAGGAATGCAGATGGGGTTTAATGCAGATGCATGTGATGTGTTGCGTCTTGGTAAGACAAACCAAGTTAATGGCATGGCCCTGAGGAGTGTTATCGAACAGAGGGACCTCGAGGTGCAGGTACATAGTTCCTTGTAAGTGGCGTCACAGGTAGACAGGGTGGTGAAGAAGGCATTTGGCATGCTCGCCTTCATCGGTCAGAGCATTGATAGCAGGAGTTGGGATGTCATGTTATGGCTGTACAAGACAATGGTAAGGCCATTTTTTGGAGAACTGCATGCCATTTTGTTCACCCTGCTATAGGAAGGATGTTATTAAACTGCTACGGGTGCAAAAAAAGTTTACAGGCATGTTACCAAGACTGGAAGGCTCTAGTTATAAGGAGAGGCTGGATAGGCAGGGACTTTTTTCCCTGGAGCATAGGAGGCTGAGGGGTAACCTTTTTAGAAGTTTATAAAATCATGAGGGTCATGAATAGGGTGAATAGCCAAGGCTTTTCCCCAGGGTAGGGGAGTCCAAAACTAGAGGGCATAGGTTTAAGGTGAGAGGGGAATGATTTAAAAGGGGCAACTTTTTCATAGAGGGTGGTGCATATTGTTATAAAATGGAGGTTGACCCCCCTCTGATGACTGAAACGCCCAGAGAGGCTTGCCTCGCCCTATAATCTGTTAAAAGAAATGTGAAAAATGGTATAACCTGCCTCTTGCCCTTAAGCTGTTATAAAGGACAGATTAAATGACATGAACTCTTTTCACTACAATCAACAAGTAACAATTTATTTATCTAACTCTAACAGTGAACAAATTAATTGAACCATTAACAAATCAAATAATTCCCCTTTTACAACTAACTATTCCCAAATAAAACAAAATTCTAATGGTGTGCTGTTCCAATAAATACAAGTTCCACTTACAGAAATCAAAATAATAAAAAAAAATTAAAACTTAATCTCTCAAAATTACAGCCAGGATACGTCTTCTGGAATGCTCTGTGCTTTATCTGCTGATCTTCAGTGAGGAACGCCTTACTCCGTCGAATTCCTGCATCGGGACTATTAGCTCAGAGTGCCATTGTACCTTTGGTTAGAAACATCTTTATTTGCTCTTTGTTCTT